TCACCAAAGAGAGAGATCAGTGTCTGCCCCTCGTCTTCCCCTCATGAAGAAGTTGTAGACTGCAATGAGGTCTCTCCTCAGTTTCCTCTTCTCAGCTGAACAGACAAAGTGACCACAGCCCCTCCTCAGACAGCTTCACTTCAAGGCCCTTCACCATCTTTACTGCCCTCCTTCGGACACCCTCTGATAGTTTAATCTTTCTTATATCATGACACTCAAAACTGCTGACTCATATTCAGCTTTCTGTAGACCTGGACCCCCAGGTCCCTTTCCATGGCACTGTTTTCCAGCATCTCATTCCCCAGTCTGTACTGAACATCCAGGGTTGGCCCATCCCAGGTGCAGAATCCAGCATTTTCCCTTGCTGAAATTCATATGGGTTGTGACTGCCCAGCCCCTGAGGCCTCCCTGTAGGGCCCCCTGCACTCAAGGGAGAAACAGTTCCTCCCAGTTTTGCAGTGACTGTGAACTTGCTCAGTATCCTTCCAGTCCCATGTCCAAGCCACTAATGAAGAAGTTGAAGAGCACAGGGCTGAGGATGGAGCCCTGTGGAACCCCACTATTCACAGGTCACCTGTCTGACGTCAACGCATCCGTTGTAAACCTTTGTGCCTGACTCATGAGCCAGATGCTCACTCATCACATGATCTGTTTGTGCAGTTGTGTGCTGGACATTTTGTCCAGAAGGATCCTGTGAAAGCCAGTATTGAAAGCTTTACTGAAATCCAAAAAGATTACATCCACTGGCTTCCCTTGATGAACTAGGTGGGTTACCTTGTCATAAATGGAAATCAGATTTAATGAGTAAGACTTTCTCCTCACGAAGCCATGCTGACATTGTCTTTCAGGTGTTTTTCAATACCTCCCAGAATAATCTACATAACTTTACCAGACACTTAAGTGAGCCTCTGGGATGCTCCTTTTTGACCTTGTTGAAAATCGGGACAACGTTCACCAGCTTCCAGTCAACTGGGACATCTCCAAATTCCCCAGAACACTCAAAAATCATCACGAGAGGTTTTGTGGTGACACCAGCAGCTCTTTGAGGATTCTCTGATATATCCCATCAAGCTCCATAAATTTGTAGGAATCCAGCTGGAGCAGCAGATTCTGAACATTTTCAGGGACAACTGGGAGATGATCATTCTTCCAGTAATGGTCATCCAGTTCAGAGGCTGAGATCCCCTTGGTGCATCATCCATGCTGAACACGGAGGCAAAGAATGTGTTAAACACCTCTGCCTTGTCCATGTCTCTGTGAGGTGACCATTCTCACCCTGTTAAGGGCTGATGTTATTCCTACACTTCCCATTGCCATTAATATACTTGAAAAAACTCTTTTTATTGTCCCCCACAGTTCAGGCAGGTTTAACTCCAGCTGATCTTTGGCCCATTAATTTCTTCCCTACAGTGACAAGCAGTATCTTCCCATCTTCCCATGTCACCTGACCTTGCTTCCACTGGTCATACATCTTTCTTTTTTGCCTTATTTCCAAGAGAAGACTTTTTTAAGCCAAGCTGGCCTTCTGCCTTGTCTGCTTGACTTCTGACATTTGAGAATTGCCTGGTCCTGTGTCATTAGGAGATGACATTTAAAAAGTGACCAGAACTGATGGACCCCAGCATCCGCAAAAACATTTTCACATGGGACTCCACTTACTAATTCCCTGAACAGCCTGAAGTCTGATCTTCTCATGTCCAGAGCTGAGGTTTTGCTGTCATTTTTCCTCCTGTCAACAGAGATTTTAAACTCTTGCCAAGACAGCTGCTGATCTCCACTGATGAGATCAACTCTATTGACAAGCAGTAGATCAAAGAGGCCTTCTTTCTGAGTCACCTCCCCTAGGATCTGTTCCATAAAGTTGTCATCCAGGATTTTTAAGAATATTCTGGCCCAGGTTGTACCAGCTATGTGATGCTCCCAGGTAATTTCTGGCAAGTTGAAGTCCCCCATAAAGACAGTGACAATCCTTAATATTCTTTTCTCACAAATGCACAAATTTAAACAGACCAGTAAAAACAACAGGCTATGCAGCACCTTTCATAGCCCCTAGGTGTTGACTGTGAGTGAAGTTGGTATTTGCATACTCAAAAGCTCAGAAATTAAGCCTTGTACAAAAGCACACTGTTGGTCACCCCTCCCTCTCTCTCTCTCTGCATTAATATCTACATTTCCTTTTCTCTGCAAAGGCTGTACTGGTTGTAATAGTAACTTTTTATTCCCACACTGTTCAAATGTTCACAATGGTCACTAATTCCCCATGCATAATCCTGTGTCCACATCTTCACTTTCTTCATGGACATCTCTGAATAAAAGAGCTCAGGTAGCAGCCAGAAACAGTACTTCACAAAGGATTACTCTGGCTTTACACAACCCATGAATATTTTCTCAGAATCCTCTTATTTCAGTAACTTCTAAATATTAATATCAATGACAATTAAACTTTTACTATTAATATTCATTAAATATGATGACACAATAGGTCAGTTTCTCTGAGTTTGTTTGCTATCTGCAAACTCAAAAAAAATTAAGATCTCAAGTACAACATCAGATGTCTTCGGAGTCACCAGATCTTTAAGGAGTTAAAAGCAAGGATAGCATAACACACATTATCTATTGTGTGCAATAGTGCCATAATTGCATTGTCAGTAAGGTCTGCAAATGGATTTTACACATGAAAGCTGAATTTCTATCTTTTTCAGTAGTCTAGAAACAATCAATAAAATAACAGTACCAAATAATGATTACTAAAATACTCTGCAGTTTTGCAGACTCCAATCCACTTATACAAATTAACCCACAACAACAGCAGATGTATGATAAGAGAAGCATTTTGTTTACAAACATGGACTATCTCAAGGTAAAAAAATTCAAAGCAAGATCACTTTCTCTACTAGCTCACAGTAAGACTCATGTTCTTATTTATGCAAAGTACCAGACAACAACATATCCAGCCATATGAAATGAAAATTAAAATTCTAAGTCCATATATGGACCAACAGACATTTACAAAATATTGTTGCTAAACTGTATGTACCTTATTTTTCATTTCATTCTTTATACTCATAAAATGAAACTATCTATTTGTTTTCTTAATAGGAAACCTTTCTTATGATGCTTGCATTATATTTTGGGGGGATTAAATATGCAGCAAAGCTACATCTTTATCCATCTGTCTTTTCAGTTTATACACCATGGTGTTGCCTGCAGTTAAAAACAATCATAGCAAGAAGATTTTGCAAGTTAAAAAATGAATACCAAATGCCATTAGCATACATTCAGATCACTGGAAGCACATAGAGAATACTATTTAAATGCTTACCTTAACTATCCCACGGATATGCATTTTTGCTATCATCTCTGCAGTGTAAAGGAACATCAACAGAGTATCAAGAGCAAATGTCACATACTGGAGAGGCGGATAATGCTCGAAGGTTTTTGGAGTGTTCATACACACAGAAATAACACTGATGATGGCACAAATTCGTAGTAAAGAGTGCACCCACTGAAAAAAAAAAAAAAAGAAACAAAACAAAACCCAAACACAAGATTTTGCAAGATTGCTTTGATGTTCAAAAAACCTCTGAATACTTAGCTTCCATAACTTATCCTGGCACTCTTTTGTAAATGTACGTCTGTGTCTTTTTACATCACATATACATTTACATATAAAAGGTCTTAAACCAAAAAAAGCACTCCTAAATTACTTATACATATATAAACACATATATATATTTTATTAGTTAATTTGTGAGGTTGTATAATTCAGAAAACATGAATTAGGAGCCATGAAACTGAGAACTAAGGATTCCATCATTTCTACTTTGTGGTACTTGTAATTTAATTTCTGTTCAAATGACAGCTCATCACATTTATGGGCAGACAATAAGTAGAATTAGTTATAGTTATAAATTGGGTGGATAGATTAAAAAAGATATTTGTGGAAAATTTTAGTTCAACACTCAGGAAGAAATTTTATTTAAATCAGTTCACAACTCAAAAAAATTAAGTGAGAGTCACAGGATTAAAAGCATCCTTCCAGTTATGAAACGAATAAATATAAAAAGAATAAAAATATAAAAGAGTATGTCACAGACAGCTACTTCTTTCAGGATTCACTTTTGTTCCAATCAAGTTTTGTTGCTATAGGAGAACAGTTCATTTCCATTACTAATTAGAACTCATTCCCACTCCTCATTGCCAGTCAGAGAGGGAGGTGTAACAAAAAAGCAGAACATAGGAGTACAGAGGTTTAGGCTTGGATTTTTTTTTTTTTTAATCAAAACATGATTAAAACATCTTGAAGTCAGCAAGTATAATGAATCATAGTTGGTAAGGCCCTATCTATTGTAACAAAAAGGAAAAGATACTTCAGCAAGAAAAAAATCTTTAAACAGAAACCACTGAAGTATATTTATCATGTTTCATCTGGGGAAAAATTCTACACTCATTTACAGCGTACCTCAGACCTTTCAATATCCAAAAGACTCAAGAACAGCCATTTAATACTCACTGTTCACTCACTTAAATGTAATGATATCTGAACTGCATTGAACAGCTCTATCATTTGCTTACTCTGAGCCCTGATTAATAGATTGTAAGGAGAAGGCACCTGATGAATGATCCCAACATCCCTTTAACATCCCCTTTGTTTTGAACCTTGTTTCAACTGAAACAATTAACATAAGCATTAAAGTGTGGCTGATACAAAACTTGTTCTCTGCCACAGTAAAGTGTCAGTACTACAAACACTAAGCAATATAAAACTAGTCCTTCAGCATGACGAGAAAAAATTATTCCATGAAAACCTCATGCATTGTGCGATGAGAAATGTAGGTAAATACCCATCATATATTTATGCAATGACATTCTGAGTTTATTACAGCAGCCAATATAAACATTCTATTCAAATAACTGACAAGACAACACCCATATATTAATTCATGCTAAATAGTTTCAGGTGTTAAAACTCAGCAGCAAAGCTGGGGTGATCTGGCATCTTTACTACAAATGAGATGACGGTTTCCTTTAATGAATGCAGTGCTAACAACAGGTATTATTTCAGAATATTTTATTTCCTGCTTTTAAAAAGTAAAAAATTATACACTGTGATAGATTGGCACTAAGAGAAATTTGAAAATGCCTTCTCTGCAAAAGCAGAAATCATTATTGGAATTCTGGATCCATGCTCAATGCTGAATAAATAATTCAATCATAATAACTATATTTATGTAGTAAAGACATTTTCTTAATACCGTACAGTCTATTAATAATTCCACTCCCAATGAAATTTTCCCCAGTTTAAAGTTGCTAGACACTTTTACATCTCTCTTTTTCTCAAGGCAGATTTTAGATTAAATGGTAATAGAAAAATGAGCTGTACTTCAAAAAAACCAACCAAAATAACAACACTTTTATATTCATAAATGTTTTAAAAGGAGTGAGGTGAAAGTCAAAAATGCTTATTGCTGGCTGCCACTTGAGCAACGAAATCCTCCTTTAAACATACTTTTCAAAAGCTCATTTTATGAACTTGTAATTTCAATGAACATGTTAGGAACCAGAGATCATGAAAGGATGGCTGCTTTAGAAGAATCAATCCGATGAAAAGGTTGGGAAATACTGCTTGATCATCCCATAATTTTGCAACAGCCAAAAGAAACAATTTTATTTAGTCTTTGATGTTTTTTAAAAAATTAACTGGTACACTGGCAACTATAGTTCAAAACTTGTTTCTGACTAATATCTAATTCAGAATTTTTTGTGGAAGTCATATTTCAACAATTCAAGTTACATTTAACTTAAAATTAGTAATTACATAAAGAGATACCTACAGGTTTGTTAATCCACAGAATATCTGCATTGTCTGACAAAGATTCATCGGGACCAAAATCTGTAACTGGCTGGGCTTCCACCCTGGAACTCTGTTTCCTTTTTAGCATCCTGAAGTTAACTTCTCTTATCTATAATCATGAAACCTCCTTGGTGAGAAAAAAACAGAAAACATTAATTCACTTAAGCAATTTTATAATGCATTTTTAATAGTTTTGTAAATAGCCCAAAGCATTTTGTTTTCATGCACACTTCTTTTGTACTTACTGATTAATAGGATATTGATTTTATTAAATGTAAATCACTGACATGACTCTTGTTAGTTTACAAAAAAATTACACAAAGGTATGCAACACAGACAATTACCAGAAACTTAGCAATGCTGACAGAAAATTTGTTCTAATATGCGAGGAATGCTATTGCTATGAACTTCAACACAGAGTAATCATTGGATGGATTTGACCTGGAGCCATTTAATTAAATGGTGACATTTCCATTTATTACACTAGGCTAAGATAAATCCCAACATGCCAAAGGCAAACAGGCAATGTTAAGCAGCCAATAGATGTTAATGTTATTTACTGAAATCAGAAAAGCCTTTTTGCTATATACTACTATTAACATGTATTTTTCTAATACATTTTTTGATGTTAACAATTATCTACCCAACAGCCAGACACCTGGCTATCTGTGGGGCATGTGTTGGCACATAGAAGGACTGAGGAAAATGTGTTGTTTCCACAAGGTCAGGCTGAGTCTGGACATTCCTGCATGGGTGGCACTGACTGAGCCTTCTGTATGCTCAGCCATGTGAGCCACTACTAGGGGACATGCCATGAGAGCAATAAGGTGAGTTAGATATTAGTATTGACTTTCCCACAGACACATTTCATGGGTGCCAGAGTCCAAACAAATACCAACAGATGAGGAAGATACACTCTCATGAGAAGTAACTGCCCATGAAATACAATTCTATTCATGAAATACAACCCCTTAGAGAATTTTTGGTTTTTGTCAGCAAAGTGAGGGGGAAGAAAGCAAGATCTTGGGACCTTGTTCTGGACCAAGTGTTTTCAGGTGATACTTCCCCGTGACAACTAAAAGTGTGTCAAAAGTAGTATAAGATAGAATCATAGAATGGTTTGAGTTCAAAGAAACCTTTAAAGATAATCTAACTCAGTTCTCCTGACATGGGCAGGAACATCTTTCACTAGATCAGATTGCTGAAAGTCCTGTCCACTTTTCAATGATAGGGCTATCACAACTTCTCTGAACAGCCTGTTCGTATGTCTCACAACTTTCATTGTGAAAAATTTCTTCCTTATGTCCAACCTAAATCTTCCCTTTTCCAGTGTAACTCTGTTGCTCCCTTGCTCTGTCACTACAGGCCCTGGTAATTACAGCCCCAAGTATCACAATGACAACTGTAATATGAATCCAAGAAACACTATCCTTGATTAGCTGGAGGCAACAGTGGGTTCAGGACTGCAGAAGTGCCCATGTGCTTGGTCTCAGCTGGCCTTTTCAACCCCATGGGCTGCTGCTTCATGTCCAAACACTATGCTTGCATCCTTGTCTGTCTCTTCTTTTTAGCTGTTATGTCGAATGTAAACCCTTAATCTTACTCCAAGCCCCTCAAAGTCTACCCCTGCTCTGTTTTCTCTTTCAGATTCAAGAGGTCGGTTCCTGTCTCTGTAAAACCGAATCGGAGCCATTGGTCTTTGTACAAACCACACAATAACAGTGCTGAGGTCTTGTACTAATGTTCCCAGCTGAAGGAGGTGACATTATGTGATAACTGATTTTTAAAACAAACAGAAATAATATAAGGGCACAAAATAACAGATAAATTCTGACACCTATATTCATTTTAAACGGTCATTCGCAGAAACCTTAGCATAAGCAAAACTGGTAAGCTGTCACTAAAAACATGCAAATACTGTAAAATGAGTATTATATATTAATAACCCTTCTCTAACAAATGAAGAATGAAATAATATTCACAGAGGTTGCATGCTCAAGCTTCATGCTCCCACTTCTGTTTTGTAACTGAATTCACTACTTCTTCTCTTTAGAATTATTTTTTCCATTTTCTCCTATTTTTTTCCCAGTATAATGGATTGACCTTTTTTCTCTACTTAGACCAAAGCACAACCAGAAATGCTTCAAGCCTCAGAGTTGCTGTTGTGCTTTTGGAGGTCATGAAACCTTAAAATGGCTACATTTGGCATAGTGATAAGTAGTTACTGCAATGCCTCTGGAGCTGCATTTCCCAAAACCTTAGGGAAAAAAAAACACTGCCTAAAATGTTTCTGACAAGTATGTTCTTTTGGAAATTGTTACTCAAAAGCTAATCAGTGAAATAAGAAAATCATTACTTTATGTTTACTATTTCTGTTAATGGCTATTACAGTGCTCCTGTAACCTTTTAACAAAAAATGTAGCAATAAACAGAGAATTAATAAGGTAAGTGCAATGAATAATTATGAGAAAAGGTTCAGGATATGAAAAACTGATTTTTGTTTAGCCACTTACTGATTTTTTTTAAAAAATAAATTATGGTCTAAATAACAAGCCATATCCATTTGGATAAGAAAGCAAATAATTATCAACAGTCTATTATAAAGAGCATGCTGTTTTTATGCTTTTCTCAGTATTGCTTATTTATACATTTGATGTGCAGGAAGATTAGCCATACCCTTCTAATAAAATTCCCACTTACCCTTTTACCCAGTACCTCTGTTTGTTCAAGTAATTTTTAATTGGTCCAGGCATGGAAAATAACATGAACTTTAGATGTTCATAACAAATGTCCATCATGGATTCAGTTCACGTACTTAAATCACAGAAATCACAGAATATTCTGAGTTGGAAGGGACCCAGAAGGATCATCAAGTCCAGCTCTTTAGTGAATGGCACATATGGATATCAAACCCACAGCCTTGGCATTGCTAGCACCGTGCTCTGACCAACTGAGCTAATCAGTGTTGTGACTAAAGAGACTAGAATTCTTAAGAGGCAGCCTTAAATCACGAAATCTCCATGTATATAAAACCAAATGAAAGGGAAGAAATGTTATGGAATATAAGAATCAGCTTGTTTACTTCTCTACTTGAAATGACCAGAAATGCACACAAAAACCTCAGAATGACGATGACAAACCAATAATATTTTGTAAATGGCCTTTAGTAAGATTATTCAAAATATATAGCATAGCTGCTTTCAAGCTTTTATGCAATTTTTTTTGCTGTTCTCACTACTTTTAGCTTACATGGGAACACACGCTTTTCCATGTGCTGCAGTTTCCAGACTCTGACATGTATGTAAAGAATTTTAACCCTTGGACTACTAATGCCTTTTGCACTTGTTTCTTCAGGGAGGAACCAGCGGAAGGATGAAGAGAAGGGGAGCTGTGCACGAACTCCTTCCAGCATGTGACACGCAGCGAGCAGCGCACCAAGCTGTGCTAATGGGGAGGATGTAGTCCTCCCTAACCCTGATACAAATCCACCCCTGCAGTTCCTGCGTTGGTTCCGACATACGTCATTAGGTCTTTCTTTGATCACAACCTGTTATTAATGTGAAAGGCTTAATAAATTCCCTAGGATGTATTTCTAGCTGCAGTGTTTTTAAGACATACTGAGTGCAGGGCAAAGACAGGCTTTAAGACAGGAAAATATTATGGAATTTTGGGTCTACAACCACTTCACATTTCTTTGGAGTACTTTCTTTATAGTAGCAATGAAAATTCACATTGCAGGTGTCAACCTTTTCAGGGAGCAATGTAGTGTCTTTTAAATTTCTACTCTAATTTTAGAAACAAAGGCAAATTAAAAAGAATAAAACAAAAACGAAAATTACACTCTGAGCCCCTTCAGATCCATTAGGGCAGCCTTGTTCTCTTCCTTTCTATCTCTGAACTTGCAGGCATGTTCTGCAACCTCTACACTTTCTAAACCACCCCCACCCACTAAATTTGCAGCTTCTGCTGGAAGGAAAGTATGCCAGGACAATGGTTGGGGTAAACATAAGACCCATTGTGCACTTTGGAAAAAAAAGAAGGTATAACCCAGTTTTGAAAAAAGAGTCAGGAGAAGGTATAACCGAGCTTGCAATATTCCCACTAAGTGTAAAACACTCCTTCTGATGGAAATATGCAGTTCCTAAAAAAATCAAAAGATAAATTTTAAAAAGTATCTGATCCTCTACAACATCAAAAGCTGAGAAATCTGAGTCTCATTTATAAAGTGAGCTCACTGTATATAGCATTATCTGTCCAAAAGATCTCTCTATCACAAAGTCAGGAAAACATGCTTATAAAGGCTCCGGCTGACAAAGCAGGCAGGTGAGAAATGACTTCACAGATATATAAACAGGAAAATTAAGCAGATATTCCTACCTATGACTTATGGAGAGAGAATTCAAAAATCAGACAAATCCTTGGAATCAGCAATGCCTGGCTTCCCAAGTACTTTTTTCTCACTGCCTATTGACTTTGTCACCTGACATCATGTGAGCTCTGCCTGAAGGTCCTCCCAAGGCAGGCCACCTACAAGCACTCTCTTCAATTCTCTCTTCTTTGAAAATGTCAACTCCACTTCCAGCTTCTCCCAGAGCAGGGACACAGAAAGTGGCATACACACTTCAAGACAATAATTGTCTCTCTAATCTGTCTAATTGTGCTCTCACAAAAATGTGAGAGCTAAAATGTGTGGCAGAAAGATGATGTGAACACCCATAAACATAGCATGGTGACAAAATCTCATTTCCATACTATACATTAAAAAAGCCCCAAAGTACAGGCTATCTGAAAGAAATTGATTGGTCTTAACTTCAGCATGCATTAGACAGTTACAGAAAAAATAGAACTTCCTATTCTTTCATCGATAGCCTTCTCCTTTCCTTCTTTGCAAACTGACACTGCTCCCTGAATCCACGTGTTCTTCGATCCCTGATTTTGGGTACAGGTACAATTAAATGGCATTTCAGTATTTGTTTTCATGTAGCAAAAATTTGAAGTGAGCAAGTTGCATATACAACAGTATAGATATATTTATTTTAGAAGGGTAAAGACAATTCCAGTGGATACAATCACATGGCACATGCCACCACAGATGCTAATAACGCATAACTCATTTCAAGTAAGAGTTTATTTCAGTATTTTTTTTTCTGTGTAGTATCATTATTGTATCTGATGAAATGTTCTGAAAGATGTCTTTGTTATTTAAGCATAATATACTGCTAATAACTGACCAAACTTGAGTATTAAAAACAAAGCTGTTTCCTCGCAAAGGAGGTACACTGAAGGAAATATTCTAAAAATCAGTTACATTCACATTTTCAGATCATTTGGATACAGGTAGGAAAGAATGACCGGTATCTTATACTTACTAAGAGGATCCCAGACCTGGGGTTCACAACTGAGAAAGGTTTAAAAATTGCTTGAGGCTGCCAATGTAAGAACATCTAGTCTGAAAACAGACAGATGTTCAGACTTAAGCTCTTTGCTCACAATGCATTTTCTGTGTTTTGCCTTATTATCAACTAAGGACAATGCTCTTACAGTAATCATTTCTTACTTCAGTCTTCCTCTCAGATGTCACCAAAATCAGCAAGCAAAATCTGCTCAGCCAGGTCTAAAGTGACCTTTGTAGTAAAGAGCAGGTACACTCTCACATTCCAAAGTCCCAGTTCCCCATGAATCCCAAAGGCAGAACATATCCAAGCATGAGGCAGCTATTTCCCTGTACAAGTAGCCAACTTTTGCTTTTCAGTGGAGACCAAGGCACAAGCCTGGTGAGCACCCTCCACCTCCCCCCAACAGGCTGGTTGCTGGCATGACCGGTCAACATGATAGCTTTCCAAGTCCTGCAGTTATACTGCCAGAATGGCTGGTGAAATGCTAAAACGTAATGATTGCTGCTGAATGCACAGCAATTATATGTAGAGAAAATACCAGTGGCAATGTATTTCCTTCACAAATACACTTGCACAGTTCAACATCTGGTCTACTTTGAAAGTTCAGTTTGACTGTGGGGCACCTACCCACCATTTGCTGACCTAGGATCAGTTGACTGCAATGTAGTCTATATATGTCAGAGCCCACTGCAGACAAAAAGACATGAAGCAACCTCCTTAGTAAGAATCATGCTAGAAAAAAAAATAAAAAAGTGTTCTGGACTTCACTTTTGCAGCATAACCACATCGAGGTGGAAATTGTGTTCAGCCCTTTGTGAAAGTGAGGGGACAGGAACTGTTTGAGTGGATTCAGGGAGCAACACACCCTCTGTCTATAATACCCCATGTTCAGTAACATGCTTTGAGTACTGTGGATCAATTTTTCAGGTTTTAAAGGAAGGAATGAGGGCACCCTTCCCAGAATGATACAGGGGTGGAAAGGAACTTCTCTGTAGGCAGATGTCTGGCAGCATGCCCACTTAAGTGATTATTTTAATGTTTCTGGGATTTTTTTGTACCATTAATTACATGCTAATATGCCTAGAACCTTGTATATCCATCTTTTCACTATTTAAATACCTAAAAACTAAAATAAATTGTGGTTATGTTAATTTAAATTTGTTACAATTTTTGCTAAAATAATTATTAATGAAACTGAAATATTCTAGTTCATCTTCCCAAATTCTTCCTTTTTTATCCTTTAAGAAATTGCCAGCAAAAAAAGTTAGGCTATATATTTTAAACGTGAAGTCCTGAAAACAGAATTAGGGCTTTTTTTATCCTCTTATCTTCCCTCTGAAACAAACTAATCGACATGTCCTTGCTGTGTGGCAGTTCCTAGAAGTTGCACCATAACCTCTGGTATTTTAGGTACTGTACACAAAGGCTTTACTTTGGATGGAAAAAAAAAAAAAAAAGGAAAACTGAGATCATAGAATCATCACAAAGCTAGTTCAGGATCTCAACTCTGTTCTTGTGAGACCCCTTCTAGATTCTCCAGGGACCCAGCTCCAGGGTGTGCAACACAAGACATTGATCTGTGGGAATGAGTCCAGAGGAGGCCACAAAGATGGGCTGGAGCACCTCTCCTATGAAGATAGGCTGAGAGAGTTGGACCTGTTCAGCCTGGAGAAAGCTCCATGGAGACCTTAGAACACTTCTCCAATATCTAAAAGGGGTTACAGTCTCTGGGGAGGGACTTCTCACAAGGATATGTAATTATGTAATGATAGGACAAGAGCAAATGACCTTAAGATAAAGGATGGCAAGATTAGATTAGATGTCAGAAAGAAATTCTTTACTGTGAGGGTGATGAGGTACAGGAACAGTTTTCCCAGGAAAGTTGTGGATGTCCCATCCCTGTCAGTATTCAAGGCCAGGCTGGATAGAGCTTTGAGCAATCTTGTCTAGTGGAAGGTGTCCCTGCCCATAGCACGGGGGTTGGAGCTAGACGATCTTTAGGGTCCCTTATAACCCAAACCATTATTTGGTTCTATGATCTCAAAAGGTCTCCAGTCATGCCTCCTGCTCAAGCAGTATCAACCCTGGTGACAGTCCAGGCTATTGTAATTTATTCAGGTTACTCCAGTCTGGTCTTGAAAACCTTCAACAAAGGTGGTTTTTTGATCAACTTGTTTCACTACTTGATTGTCCTCACCATGAGGAAAAAAAAAAAAAAAGAAAAAAGAAAAAAAAAAAAAAGACAGAGATAAAAGATGAAAATATCACAGAAAATAAAGAGAAGGAAAAATAAATTACCTAGTAGAACCACGACAATTTGCAACTGTAGTTTAGGACTGGTATTTTGCAAAGCAAGGTATTTATCAGTATTTAACCAATCCAGGAAACTTCAGTTGAAATAAAAGATACTATGAAGGTAATGAAAGGGAGAACAGAGAAAGGTTGGAAAGGAAAGAAAATATGATTCAACTTGTAGCACCCACATTAGGCTGACCTTGTTCTTTATCCCTGAAAGATCTTGTGTTCAAAACCTACAGGAGATCCAACCATGGAAGCCTTCTATCAGTAACACAGTAAAAATGATTTTTGAATGCAAGACCTCTAGTTTACTCATAAGCACATTAGAAATCTTATTTGTAACAGACTGAACTCCTAAACACCTAGGCAGGTGGGGAGGAAACCCACCTCCTCAGAAGCCAGCACCAGTTCTGTCTCATCATGAGCTACTCATGCCTCAAGAAGACATTCTCATCTGTAGAAGTCTTCTAGGGCCAAGTCCAGCAGCCCATTAAATGGCAATGAACTGTGATGGACCCGATTTCAGATTAAAACACAACAGATACACCAAACAAGAAGAGTGAAGCACAAATGACATGTCAATTGTTACCGTTTTGAAAGTTATCAAGCTCAAAAGGTAAAAAAAACCCAGAAAAAACAAATCCCACCAAAAACAAACAAAAAACCCAAACAAAAAACCCAAACAAAAAAACCCCACTGAATAAAAACAAACCCAACTGTTCCTAAAAGTCTCCAAAGGTATATGTATATACTTGAAGAGAGCTGGAGACTTCTAACATCCAGTGAGACCAACTCAAAGAAATGTCATTTCTCACCCCCTTCCCGAAGTTTAGAAACTCCAGCTTTTGTGATTCATGCAGCAGAGCACAGTTCACTGTTAATATGTATCATTTCTCTGTGGATCACTCAGTGGGCAGGTGGAATGGGGCTGCTGGGGAAGCAAAAC